ATCTTGATCTTGGTCTTGTTTAATCAGAATGTTGCTGTAATGAGCCATGCACCATGAACCTTCCAACTTAGTAGTGCCTTTCTCTACTTTTAGATAATATTAGCACAACTACTTCCATGCGAGAGGCATCATCTTCTTCATGTCTCATTACTTATCAGTCTATTCCAGGGGTGGGGAACTCCAGGCCTCGAGAGCCGGTGTCCCGCAGGTTTTAGATCTCATCCTGGGTCAACACACCTGAATCAAATGATCAGTTCATTACCAGGCCTCTGGAGAACTTCAAGACATATTGAGGAGGTAATGTAGCCATTTAAATCAGCTGCGTTGGATCAAGGACACATCTAAAACCCGCAGGACACCGGCTCTCGAGGCCTGGAGTTGCCCACCCCTGTTCTGCTCTGTCCTGATTGAATGCACCTAGTCTCGCTGGTCCCTATTAATGCAAGGCTGTAATTTTGCATTGCTTTAGCAATTTAGTAAGCCCTTCCAGTTTGATACATGGTTTGGACTTTCCATGTATTTTAATCCTGGTTGGAGGAAGGATTTTTGGTCCTGTAGTTTCCAAAAACTCCTGACTTTTACTGAATGGCGTGCTTTGGCCTTGGGTTGAAGGTCGTTTTTCCAAATTCAAGCTTCCTTGATGTTCTCCTGTCAATATTTTTGGGTTTTGTGGGATAGGGTTGCCAGCCAACCCTCCTCCTTTCTCATCCAGGCGTGGGAACCACCATGGGGGAGTTGAAATAGAGGAAGCAGTGGGGAAAAAAATCTACAAGGAAAACATTTTTCTCAATCTGTGTCAGTTGTTTCAGCTCAACTGAACATCGTATTATTGCATTATTGTATAGGGTTGTTACCTTACAATACAAATAGACTTGAATTGAATTGAAAAAAGTTGGTGTTCTGTTAAAAAAACAAACAAACAAACAAAAACTAATCCAAACTTAAAAATAAAGATTTTCTAGGTGTCCCACTTGTGGAATACCTCCAATCTGCTAACTGTAAAACAGAATAACATAGAATTGAATTATAAAGATAGTTCCTATCGATGAGACTGCTGTCGACGATCAGCTGTCTAGGTATGGACCAATAACCAATCCAAATATCAGATGCTCTGTTATACGGGATATTTCACATTTCTTTAATCTTTAGTGAACATACATTCTTGACTTGTCAGTTTGTTCCTGTGATTTGTCGTCTTTTAAACACATTTAAATAGTTTTCTTACATCTGCATCGTTCATTGCTTTCTAAGTGTGCCAGTTGAGACGTTAGCTGTTGTTTTTTTCCCTTTCCTTTTAAGTTCTTTTAGCTTAGATGTTGGATAATATCTATCTGATATTCTCCTCGGCAGCTGCTCCTGTCAGATCAGTCACTCCGCTTTCTTCTCCACCTTGCTTAGAAGCATTTAGTCGTCCATTATATGCATATATGCTCACCGTTCACTGCTCAGTTTTCTCTTCTTTGAGGCATTCATTTCTTTTGTAGCCGAAGTGATATCGACTGCACGGAGTAATGGTGATATTTGTTATTGTTATAGCTGTTGGCCTAATGACAACTACATCTATTTGAACCTCGTACCAGGCAGGCATCATTTCACATCAACAGATTAAGCAGCAAAATGATATCACTTACAGACGTATAGGTCAAATGAAAGTGTTTGAGTGGCCGGATCTTTCCAATAGCTGTGATCCTGATTTGCTCAAGCCTGCTCAGTTGATGAATGTGTGGCACAGTGGTGTAAAGGTCACAGTGAGGCTGGAAGGTTGTAATCACAGACTGTGTGTCAAAGATGAACACTATGCTGCCGTTTTGCTGGTGTCAGGAGTCCATATTTTGAAGACTTGTCATTAGGGTTAGGATTACCTGTCACCATCTTCGTTTTCAAGAACCAGAAGGAACCACATTTGGATGATAGGGTGTCTTATTGAGTGTTAGTGTGTGCAGCACAGTATTTATGGCCATATTTTGTCATATAATTTCACCATCAACACCACAAACACTTTTTTCCTAACAGGTTGTAAACATGCTTTTTAATAGGCCATTTGTACACGTGAGTACAGTATGTGGGGAGTGACTCACTTTTGGTGCCAGCCTCAAATGGCCACTCCAGGAAGTGCAGCTTCCACACTGGCGTCATGCTTTCAGCCCTGGAAAACATGCTCTGGAGCTTGATGCCAGACATTTCTCTTCCTGTATTACTGCTCAACAAAAGGCCCACATGTGCATCCAGTAGAAAAATCCTTAACTGTGGAACACGCTGGGATGCAGTTGATTCGCATGTTTTTTTGTGCTGCTCATCTTCGATGATTCAGAATGACACAGACCTGTAACAAAGTATCTTGCGGTAAAGACTGGTTTCGAATTGAAAATTTTTTTTTTTTAATTGCAGCATCATTTGCCTTTCTCATTTAGATTAGAAATAAGTAGGAGATGAAAAAGAAGTGCAGGGGAAGATGAGTTTCCCACTGACAGTCTGCCACGGAGTGGCCTGTGCAGTCTCCCTCAGTCTCACTGCCTCCTGGGAGTTGAGGAAAACATTCTGCTGATGACATGAATCTTGGATGAGTGTGCATCTGTGTGTGAGTGTGAGATAGTGTTGCATGCATACAGAGAAGTACAGTATTCTGGGAGAACCTGTTCATTTAAATCTGCGTCTGTGAGTATGATAGCGTGCGTGCGCCAGTGGCGCCAAAATTCCACACACACATTCCCATGAATATCTTGTGTGTGGCTCTGTTGACATGCTGAACCGTCCTCTCCCCAGTCCACCCCCATTCTCTCTTTCTCTGCTTCATCAATCACTTAAGCTTTCCCACTGCTCATGGCAGAGCTGGACCAATTAAACCCTCTAATTGAGCCAATTAGCAATTAAACACTCAGATGCACCACAAAATTCTGGCGGTCCCCGCAGGCATACTCGTGTCTGCCATGGGCTTGGCCAGGAATTCTGACATACATGTGTCACGAGGTGCAAGTTTTGGGCAAAAAGGAGTCCAGTTGTCCCCCTTCCTGGGCTCATCACGTCCCTGAGAATCTCTCCTCCTTGTGTCACTTTGACTCGAGGCCTCTTGAAGGGCCTCTGCTGACCACAGAGAAGCTTTTCATTAACAGGACCTGTTTCCTCTCCATCCTTATTCTCACCTTTCATCTCCAGTTTGGCTCTCTCGTCATCCCTGCTCCTTTTTCTTTTTTTTCCTTCCCCTCCGACACTCGTCTCTTCGCCGGTCTCTTTTATGTACGTTGGAGGATGAAAGTTTAACAGCAGTGTAGATGGTTATTTTTGATTGTTGGGTGTGTGGGTGAAGGGCTCGTCCCAGACTCTCCGTGGTTTAATTAGAGCGCGCGTCGTGCTGCCCGCTTCTCAGCGAGCAGATACACACCCAGACGCACACACGGGGGGGCGTGGGCAGAACAACAAAGTCCACTCGAAGAGGAACAAAGGCAGGCGGCAATATATTTAGTGTGCACGCGCGGGAACAAACAAAAACAAGGAGAGATTAGAGGCGCTACAGGCCCGCTCGCAATTACCGCTCTCTCTTTTTTAACTTTTTTTTTTTACCACGCATTTCCCCAAAAGCCCGAATATATCCTCTCCAAGAGCTTGTTGTACATAAGAAACTATTATTACATGAATGAGCCTCCTTATTCGTGTTATCTGCTCATCAGCCTATAGACTCTAATTATCTGCCGTCTTGCCTCAAGCCTCTTAAATCCCATACTTTTACATTTTAAATGGCTTTATTGGCAGTGTGAGAGAAAGGGGGAGTGGGGGGGGGAGAAAACAAAAACAGAGGTGGGTACAGGTGATGCAATAATATCCTTAATGATGCCTTTAAAGGGGACAATTACGGTAGGGCGATAAAGCAAAGGGGAGAGTGTGAAAAAAATGCGATAAGAGTGAAAAAGAGTGCGCTAACACTGAGGAGATATCTCACTGTACTCCCAGCGTTACTTACTGCCGGGCCTTGTGTGTCCCGCACCGTTACATAACACCACGCAACAACGTAACTGCAGCCTAATCTCCTCCTCGCCTCGTGCATTTCCTGACTCTGGATCTGTTAGATGAGGATTTGCACATTTCCGCTGTAGATTACATGAATGGCTGTGCACAATGTGGGCTTTCATTCATGTGTGGCTCAGTTAATGCTACGAGTGTGTCTCTGTGTTCTGCGTATAGCCAGAGAGCGCCCCAGCTGGGCTGTTCTAAGCTGCTTACAGGCGCACATTATTGACATTTGACCTTACTGGGCAGTGAAAGGCTCGCCCTAATCTCCAGCTTCTACTCGTCCACCAACGCTGTCTACTGTACTGTCTGTAGTGTTGCCTCCACGAGAACCTCTGAAGCCTCGAGGAATTTAATAACCAGAAATATTGAGGCATCGCTAGCAGCGTTGTTCAGTGGAAACTCGGCAGAGATGCGTGCGTGCTAGCTGCCAGGTTGAGCACGGCCCGCCAGGAGGGATCGTGCCCTCATGCAGGTGCACTGGGACAGCAGGATTTTCATACATAATGAATAGAGAGACATGTAGAAATGTGCACTCAGCAAGGAGCATATATGGGATTATGTTGCAAACGCCAGAGGAAGTAAAAACATGATGTCAGAAATTGCATTTGTGTCATTGTGTTTGTTTTTGTTCTTCCGTCCATGTTGGAGGGAAACATTTTCAGCCTCGTGATGTAACGACTTGAAGTGAAACACGTTGATCGTCACATGAAATGCTCCCAAAATGAACCCTTGTTAGTTTGATCTCCACAACACTGGCTCTGGATTTAGAAAATCTTTCATTTCAGGAAAAAAAAAGAAAAAAGGTCCCTTGGCAACAGCTGAAGGTGAAAAAATGTTGAACTGACAACATTTAATGGAATATATTTCTGTTTCAGATAAGCTTAATCTCTTTTATCTTTTCTTCCTCCCTCCCCCCGCCCCCGCTCTCTCTCTCTTTATCACCGTCCCTTAAATCTCTTCCTTCCTCCCCCCTGCTTCTCTGTCTCATTCTGCAGAATTCATCATCAATCCAATTATCTGGATAATTGAGGACGAATAGGTATGGAACGCAACAGAGCCATGGCTTGGGAAGTGTTTCGGATCACCGTTGCTCAGAATCACCACTGACCTGGCACCCACTCCAAGGTCCAAACCCCTTTATCTGGCACCCAGAGCCCAAAGGACCCTTCTCTCCCAAGCAGCTGCCTTGTCCTCCACTTCACCTTCAGTCAGCGCCCTTAGTCTTGGTCGAGTTTCTAAAAAAGCTCCTTTTTAGTCATTAAGGGTTTTTTACCTTCCAGATTGTTGGATATAATCCACTTTTGCTCATAAAGAGAGACGTTTTCCCAAACTGACTAAAAGCAGGTGGCTGAATGGTATGAACTCAGTCATGAAGCCCCTTCCATTCTTTATAAATAGACAGAGTCGGCGGAGTTTGTCGTCCAGGACAAGCCACCTCAGCCTTATGACAGACTGGTGCCTCATGAGCATCCTAGGCCTCATTCTGCTCTTCAGTCTAGCCTCGAGCCAGAAGATGGATCCTTCTAAACACCCTATCGTGACCACTAACTATGGGAAGCTCAGAGGCATCAAGAAGGACTTGAACAATGAGATTCTTGGCCCTGTGGAGCAGTACCTGGGTGTGCCCTACGCCACGGCGCCCATCGGCGATCGCCGCTTTCAGCCACCTGAGGCCCCGGGATCCTGGCAGGAGATCCGCAACGCCACCCTCTTTGCCCCTGTGTGCCCTCAAAATGTTCACGGTGTACTGCCGGAGATAATGCTACCCGTGTGGTTCACAGACAACCTGGATGTGGCGGCCGGTTACATCCAGAACCAGAGCGAGGATTGCCTCTACCTCAATGTCTACGTGCCGACGGAGGATGGTGAGTGGGGACAGGGTGAAATGAAGGGTTGGTGGATGTGGGACTTTGATGGGTAACATTTAGCACAGGGAATAGGTGGACTTTTCACTAAGCTCCAAACCCTTTAGTTACTATTACCGTACCGTTCTTGTTGAATTTTCCATGCTCACACAGCAGGCACACAGTTACTGCTGTACATGTGTTTTTTAAGTCTGCAACATCAGGTTCTTGGTAGAAAAAGCCGACTCATCTTTTTGTCTGGCTGCCAAATAGAAGATTATATGTGAAGTTTGTTGTTTGATTGAGGATAACTGACAGATTGTTTTAGTGTTTGCAACCAACACCTTTTAGCTTGTAGCTTTAGTAAAGTCAGTAAAGCTCCAGGCACAAACAGCCGCACCATGTAGAAGTCTTTTCCGTTGTTAAATCTATTTTTATATTTATATATTTTCTTAAATATATTTTAGAAACTACTTTTTGGTTTTTTTGGTTGTGTGTTTTTTCCATCTGACTGATAGATCCAGGATTGCTTGCTAGGCAACAGTACCCTCACCTATTCAGTCTTTAAGTGATGACGTATGAATCCTGCTTCTGGGCCCAAACTACTCTGTGTTTCATCAGGCTGCTGTGTTTTTAACATGTTTTACTGCTTTATATCTTGGTGTATTTAATCTCAACAAGCCCCTAAAAACACTCACTGTCGGCTTCTCTCGGTTTTTATTACCACTATTAATTTCAAAGCTCAGTTTTTAAAACCTTATGATGTAACTACAGCCCAGCCCATGCGGCAGTATATGAATGACTAACCTCGCATTGTGGATGGATTATCTCAGTTGTTCTCCTGACTAAAGTTTGGTCCGTTTACAGCATCCTGCCATGCGATTGCATTTGTCCCTGACCATCGGGAACCCTCACGTTAACTTTTATCAAGTGGAAAAAAGTTAGCGTTGATCCTCCAGCTTCACTGTGTTTATATTATGCTAACATAGCTGTGTCGCTAGCGATCACATAGCACATCATTATATACCAGCTAGCCAAACTTCAGTAACCCTGCAAACGTCACTGCTGTTTAGTTTTCTGTCTTGACTTATGTTGGAAGTGATAGCAGAGCTGTACGTTTTAATTAGTTTCAAAAATCTCTCAGTCAGAACATGCAATATTATGTTTAGGCGGAAACTAGCGAGCTAACTCTCTGCTAACTTCTAACTCTTTTAAAGTTAATAAATTCTGTTTTCATGGATACCTGGATGTTAAACGTAATTGTTATACCCGGTAGAGCAGCAACGCTGATCATTTTATTAAGAATTTAGACAGTTTTTAACTCTCAGTGATGCCGCAGGGATCATTTGACTTATGGACCTGCAGCGGAGTTTGGGCCCAGACACGGCTAATGACGTCAGACTTAAAGACCAGATAGTTCAAAAGTTCAGCTGCTGATAATCAGCCCATGCATCCTCGATATCATTTTACATTAATCTGTCGTCCTGTTGGCTTCAGCCTCATGTTCTTGGACTTCAGCCGGCTGCAGCAGCCTTGATCTTTGTGATCTTGTGCGAGCTGGAGAGCCACTCGGACCAGAACCTCAAGTAGGCAGAGAACTGGTTCATGAGCTGCTGCACTGAGACGGTGGAGTTGACATTTGACCTCAGGACGAGAGACTAAGCAGAGGACTGGCTGAGCATTGCTTGAGAGTCACAAAGAAGGCCCAATTATAGGTGAAGAGAAGCACCTTCATCTGCCAATAATCTGTGCCCCCCCACACCACCATAGATATACAGTTAAAGCAAGAAATATCTCTTCCAGTATTGTTAGCTTGCCCTGGTGTTAAGTTCAGACTCATGTTTCAGTCTAACCTAACTTCTGACTTGCTTTGAATACACTTAGTTACATTTGAAGAAGCAAATGATGATGAAGTGATGATTTATCTGTTTAGAGGAGGGGCTTAGTGAACAGTCACTCTTTACAGGGATAGTCTGAGTGGTTCTATAAAGGTTATTAGTTAAGCTAATATTTCATACCAACCTTGCACATAATGTAGATGACGACTGTTAGTTTTAGGATTATGCTTGCGTCTGGGTTGGACTTATATAAAATAAACAATATAAAACTCCACAGAGAATCAAAAATCATTTCAACTACCACTTTGCTGTTTTTATGGTACCTCCAATTCTGTGTGTTATAAAACAAAAAGGCCAGGACTGGAGCAGCTTTATGAGAAAAGGGATTAGGTGACTTTTGACTTTACTTTTTTTTCCAGTCAAGAACTTTCTTCTCTCAACTCAGATCAAACTGTGGACATTTTTGTCAGTCTAAGGACTATTTGGTGTACGAGCAATAAGGGGGAAAGATTTCCATCTCATCGGCAGGTGTGACATGAAAAGTGGAGACTCCCGTCACCTCCCTTCCTCTCCTTGCCGAGGATATTGTGCTTCACATTTTTGTCTTTCATTTCTATATCTCGAGTAAAAGCTGCACAGCTTCCCAACACCTTTTTATAGAGACAAAGTGGTAAGCATTTTGGGTTTTGCTTGGAAAAGAAAATAAGACCTGAAAGCTAACTGGACGCTTTCCAAAGAGGAATGAAGTGTTGCTAAAGATCTGTATTGAGGCTAAAAAAAGAATACTCCATGATGTAGCTTGACAGTGTCTGTGTGTGTCTTTTTCACCAACACTTTTAAGTCTCCCTCTTTGCCCGTCCATCAGAACTTCTTTCAATTTCTTTTTTTTACCCACCTCGCAGTTCAAAAACATTCCTTCCGCCTCTCCACTGCAGCACCGCAGCCTCAGCCCTCGACACCCCATCATTGCCACTTATGGCTCCGCGGGCAAATTTAGAGCATTATACATCAGGTTTCACTTTTTTTTTCCCTGAGATGTGCGATGTGGAAATGGAAATGTCATAACTCTGAAACATATAAACACTCGCTCACATTCTCCCGTGCAGCGCGCCTTCTGCAAATGTCACACAGTTGCTGAACATCTCCCCACAGTGACCTTCATTCATCAATGTGAAAAATCAGCAGAGCGCCCGGCGGCGTCGGTGTACCACACGGTCACTGTTTGTAAGGTGCGTCCAGGTTAGAAAGACATTATCCCAGCAAATACCCACCCGGTGCACGTGCCATAATTTAAGTGTGGAAAAAAAGAACTGCAGATCCATATGAGCTCGCTTCACCCCCTCCCCCGCCCGTCCTCCATCATCACTGCTGTTATATTTACTGTGGTCGAGTCAGGCATGACATTGCTAGCCTCAGCAATCTCTAGCAGCCCTGGGGTTGCCGTTGTCTTTGCTCCTCTGCCTTTTCTCCCTCTTTGGTTTCCAAATCATTTGTTACACATGCAATGGAGGAGATGGAAGGAAACGAGGAAAGGAGGATAAAAAACAAGGAGAGGAGACTAGGGCTAGAGATTTTTTTAGCTTATATGCATTTTCTCTTGCCACACCACGTCTGTCACTGTCTTTCTTCTTACTTTTAAAACATGAATTCTGCGTCTCCTGAGAGTTTTGTACTTGTATCCTTTCACAGGGCAACCCTAAAGACAGAATCCTTAAAAAAACTCTGGTTTTAAGTGGATTAAGTTGGCAGAATTACGTCTTAATGCTGCCGTCGGTGCAAGTAGGAGAAAGTGGGACACTGACATGAATGTGTGTTTGTTCATAGATAAACAAATATGCTAACATTTGGCGCGTACTCGTGGCTCTTTAATTAATATTTAAGTGCTTAGTAAGTTGCAAAGCTAGCCATGTGTTGTCATTTCTTTCATTCATCCCATGGCGCTCCTGAATAAACATGCTGCTGAATGTGTCAGTCTTTTAGAAAGAAACAAAATCAAGAAATGAAACAAATTGAAAGAAAGAATGAAAAATGACACTTTTTAATATTTGATTAAAGACAGCTTCATCTAATTTAGTAATTTCATATCACATTCTTTGACTATATGAATAGTTTTGAGCAGAAAATGTTAATCACTGAATGGGTTTTCATGTTTTCTAAACACATTAAATAACTTATTGTGTATATATTGCTACAGAAAAGACGCATTGCAGCACCTTTTGGATTTAAATATAGAGACTACATTTCTATCCAACACATGGTGGCCTCAGGGAGGCACGGCAACGACCCAAAACATACAGCCAGAACGATAAAGAACAAGAAGGCAAGCCACTCTCTGGAGGTATTTACTGTTAAGGAAATATTGTATTATTTTAGTTTGTATATATTTGTTTGGTTTATTTGTTCTTTTAAAAGAACATTAAGTTGGTGGTGCAGTAAAGTCAGTCAGATAAGGGAAGCATGACGGATGTTTGCTTTGATTACACAGACATTATGTAGGAGTGGGTTAATGGGTAATAGGTATTGATGTGTAAATAGCTTGAGCTTATTATAGAACACTGTACTACAGTATATTTCCAAGTAGGCCATTCGTTCTCATGCTTTATTTAAAGATGTGACACACTTTGGGTTCAGCTTAAAAGAAAGGCAGATGTAAAATGTAAAATTGAGGTCAGAGGTCAAATGTAACATGCCATTGGATGCAGACTATAATATAAGATTTCCTGATCCTGATAGACCTGTATCAAAGAAAGTATAATTTGAAGCAAAGCTAACAATTTATGAGCTTATTTGCATTTGAAGATGAGGTCAAAGGTCAGATGTGTTTAGAATGTCTTAATGTCACTTCCTGTATACCTGTATGTTGAAAGTACAAACAATGGCAGTAAGACTCTTCATTTCAAACAGCTCTATATAGCATTTATTATCATCTTGACCTTTTAGGCTAACCTGTTGACCTTGAAGGAGAGGTCAGAGGTCAAATGTGACATGATATCTTAAATCTTAAACCACAATTGTAATAGACCTAGTTTCAAAGTTATACGGCTTTCTGTCAATTTTTGTCCAATAAATCATAAAGTTGACCTTGAAGACCTTGAACTGGAAGCCAGGTTTTGATGGATGATTAACATGACCGCACTCTGCACCCCTACCAAGTTTTCTCAGAATTCCTTCAAGTTATCATGT